CCATTAAGTTCCACCAGTTCTAAAATTCACAGATAGGACCCACCTTGCTACCCACATTGTAGCAAACCACCCTCATTCCTTCCATATCCCATGGGTGAGAAATTCCACTCCTGAAGAATTTTCCGCCCAAAACATTGCTCTATGGAACCGACTCCCAAGAGAATGTTTCACCAATTACTACAATATTAACCTGTTCAAGTCTAAGGTTATCTTCCCCATTTATATGCATAAACTGTACCTTGTACTCTGTAACCTTCTACCTTGAGTGGCACTCAGGCATTGTATAGAGTGAATTTCACTGTTAAAAATAAAAGGCACCTAGATGGCATTTACCTTGATGCTGGGCCTACTGTCAATAGTCCAAGATAAGCACTTACTCTTCACTTAAGTCTACTACTGATGAAGGCTCAAGAGAATATCAGTTGAAACAATGGAAATAGATGAAGATAATAATTAGAATTATGTCTGGAATAAAAATTCATTTATTTTTTTTTTTTTTAAACTTTTTTTTTCACCATTCTCAAAAAAAGATTTATATTTTTTTTTTTTCCTAGTCCAGGAGTTGGCAACCCATGGCATGCCAAGCAATTTCCAACGGCATGCAGCCGCAAATGACGTCACAAAGCCCGAACCAATAACTACTACAACACAATGAAGATACTTAGCGGTTTCAAAACTGCTCACTCGTTGGACTCCTATTAATAATAAAAACTTAAAAACAGTTTATTTCTATTACTGTGGTTTACATATTATTGTATATATTATTATATATTGTAGAACAGGTATATTGACCTTGACTTGTATAAAAATACATATGATGTTGGCACACTTATTTTAAAACCCTAAATCGGCACATGGTCAGCGAAAATGTATTGCTGGTAATATTTTTTTCTTCAAAAATTCATTGCTGTAATAATTTTATACAAAAATGTATTGCTGTTATTAAAACCTATTATAGTGTTTTGACCCCAGTTTTGGGGTCAACTATTTGCCAGAGTTCCAGGAGATCCTCTTCAGCTCGGCCCTTGTCGTGCCAGAGTTTTGGGGTCAACTATTTGCCATAGGTGGAACTCTAACAGGTGGTACCACCCCGGGTCAGGGTGGACCTGGGAACACCAGCAATTAAGAGGTTGTTCCACACTCAAAACCTCCTGATCAGAGGCCTTGCTGTTGGATGTAGTTTGTCATCTTACTCAGGACGCCCCATTGAAGTGGGTGCGGGTGTCTTACACCTCCCTCTGCAGAGGTGCAGTCAGCATATTCTACTGCCCCAGCAGACACGGCATTTTATTCTTTTGAAAGAATGATGATTACAATTGGAATAAAACCTAAACATATGATAAAAGTGAATTTACACTTTCTTTTTTTTTTCTTGAGAATTTAGATAATTCTAAAACTAATAGAATTGTATTAAAACTAATGCAATACAATAGTTACAATTTACCAATTTATAAAGAAATATAGTTTTAAGGTGTGCTATATTTATGGGATAAAGTGCTCATTCAGAGAATAGAGTGTATATAAATATAAAAGTGAAGATTGAAGTCAACACTCAGAGGCAAGAGGCTGTTCCATGATAGGCGGATCCGCCAGGCCGCCTAGCATGAAACAGCCTGTCGCCACCACCAAATGGGAGGGTGGGGGTGCTGTTGTTGCTGTTGTTATTATTATTATTATTATTCCTCTTGATTCCTTGAAGAGCATAGGGTCACGACAACACCTCGCCAACGGATGCAGTTCCAGGAGATCCTCTTCAGCTCGCCCCTTGTCGTGCCAGAGTTCCAGGAGATCCTCTTCAGCTCGCCCCTTGTCGTGCCAGAGTTCCAGGAGATCCTCTTCACCTCGGCCCTTGTCGTGCCAGAGTTCCAGGAGATCCTCTTCAACTCGCCCCTTGTCGTGCCAGAGTTCCAGGAGATCCTCTTCACCTCGGCCCTTGTCGTGCTCGGGTTCCAGGAGATCCTCTTCAGCTCAGCCCTTGTCGTGCCAGAGTTCTAGAACCTCTTAAGCTCGGCCCTTGTAGTGCCAGAGTTCCAGGAGATCCTCTTCAGCTCGGCCCTTGTCGTGCCAGCTGCCTTCGCTTCCCAGGAAATTTCACCAGCATGCATCATACGTTCCACTTTGGAAGACTCTTCCTTGGCCATGCCATTGTTGAAAGATATCATTGTGGTTTCTGTAACAAGCCAGTTTTAAGTGAGTAGGTTGTTAGCCTATTTCACAACCCCCAACCTGGAGGACCAGGGTGTATCTTTCATCTGGCTCCTAACCCACAGACATGTTGAGCTTAGTTAGACATGTTGAGCTTAGTTGGACATGCTAAGGGACAAAGCCCTCGCCTCTTGGGGTCATTGAAGACATCCTACCACGTCAAGGCAACACACAATCATTACTCCTTTTTTTTTTTGTTGTTGGATATCTTCAAGTGATGTGGTTTCTGTTATTTGGTAAAACTCTTTGGGATTCTATAGCGACAGTTTGAAGAATCTAGTGAAGAATAGTCCTCTCTAAGACGTACATGGTTCATTTGCTTGTCACCATTTTTAATCATTGATCTACGAAAACAGTTTGCATATCGCTGATAGTTTAGAGATTTTCTGAATGAGTTGGATGTCATGCATGACATCCACATGAGCGTCTAGACCTGAAGAGGCCATTTAAGAACAAAACTCAAATTCTTAGGTTAATTTTTTGGCTTTGTAGCATCTTGCAGTATTGTGCAAAACTAACCCTTCTTTGTCGATGTACCTTGTCCCTTCAGGATGTTGGCAAACAAGGCTCTCCACAATTTCCTATCCTTTGTAGCTCTTAGTAAATTTTAGTTTTTCACTATCTCTCCTAATCCTTCTGCCAAACATTTATACAAGCTTATTAGAACTGTTATGCATTGCTTTTCTCTGTCCCTCTTGCTTTCAATATATCCTGTGAGTGTCAAATTTTCCAAACCTTCTTTCTCCATTAGTACCCTAGGAATTTCAACTGTATCTTTATGATGCTATCTATGCGTTTATTTTGTTTCCATTTTTCTGCTGGATAAAACTGTTTGTGAACCTGTGCTAGCTGAAGGTTTTTCAAATCATGAACAGCAACAGCTTCTAATGAATATAGCGACATTGGAGATGCCGAATTTTTGTTTCCATTTAAAATGTCTTTTTGCTATTTCTCCTAATCCCTGCCTTGCCAACCATTTACACAAGCTCATTAGATAAGTTATGTTTAGACATTTCTGAACGAGTTTGATGTTATGCATGACATCCACATGAAAGCCTAGATCTGAAGAGGCCATTTAAGAATGAGACTCAAATTCTAAGGTTAATATATTGGTTTTGTAGCATCTTGCAGTATTGTACATAACTACCACTTCTTTTTCTTTGTCTATGTGCCTTGTCCCTTGAGGACATTGGCAAACATGGTTCTCCACAATTTCATGTTCTTTGTAGCTTTAAGTAAATTTTATTCTTTCAATATCTCTCCTGATCCTTGTTCTCTCAACCACTTACACAAGCTCATTAAGACGGTTACAATCCGCTTTTGTCCATCCCACTTACCTTCAGTATGTCCTGTTAGTGTCAAATTTTCTAAACCATTTTTCTGCATTATGTGCCCTAAAAATTTCAATTGTTTCTTTCTGATCTGAAGTGACCTTTTTGTTTGCTTTTTCTCAAAAACCTTGTCACCCGCCAGTGCAGCCTATTCTATGTTCAACATCTGTTTTTTTTTGCTGAATCTTCTATGTGCTGTATCCTTTCAGGATGTGAGCAATCATAGCTCTCCACAACTACTAACTGTAAGATGTCTGTCTTTTTGCTAATCTAATCCCTAACTGTAAGATGGCTGTCTTTCTGCTAATCTAATCCCTAACTGTAAGATGGCTGTCTTTCTGCTAATCTAATCCCTAACTGTAAGATGGCTGTCTTTCTGCTAATCTAATCCCTAACTGTAAGATGGCTGTCTTTCTGCTAATCTAATCCCTAACTGTAAGATGGCTGTCTTTTTGCTAATCTAATCCCTGCTTTGACAACCATTTACACAAGCTCATTAGATAGGTTATGTTTAGACATTTCTGAATGAGTTTGATGTCATGCATGACATCCACATGAAAGTCTAGATCTGAAGAGGCCATTTAAGAACGAGACTCAAATTCTAAGGTTAATGTATTGGTTTTGTAGCATCTTGCAGTATTGTACATAACTACCACTTCTTTTTCTTTGTCTATGTGCCTTGTCCCTTGAGGACATTGGCAAACATGGTTCTCCACAATTTCATGTCCTTTATAGCTCTTAGTAAATTTTATTCTTTCAATATCTTTCCTGATCCTTGTTCTGTCAACCATTTACACAAGCTCATTAAGATGGTTACATGTTGCTTTTATTCATCCAACTTACCTTCAGTATGTTCTGTTAGTGTCTAATTTTCTAAACCCTCTTTCCACATTATGTGCCCTAAAAATTTCAACTGTTTCTTTCTGATGTGAAGTGACTTTTTTGTTTGCTTTTTCTAGAAAACCTTGTCACCCACGAGTACAGCTTATTCTACGTTCAACATCTTTCTCTCCTGTACTAAATCGGTTAACTGATTCTTACGCTGAGGTATTTGAAGTGGTTAGAATTTATTTATTCCACATTCTGAACTATTTACAGATTGGTGTTTGTTTTGGAAATAGTTCCATGTCAAATGCAGCTACTTACCTTTTCAAATTCCAGCTTGATGGGGTTAATAAATTTACTTGAAATATATTCGGCTGCTTCTTTACCAAGTTCCATAGCTTCCGCAACACTTTCCACCCCAAATTTACACATCACAGAATCTGTATCACCATATATGACCTGAGAATAGAGGAAGAAAATAATTAAAAATAGTCATGGCTCAAGTGTGCTTTTCACTTTTGTTAATTTTTAAGGAAACATGCATGCTTTGTATGCACTTTCATGTCAGACACCATTTTGCCAGATTTTAATAAGGTATATATAAAATTAAAAAAAACCCAAAAAAACAAGAAAAACTATAGGGTACTGTTAGGAAGGTTAAACGTCTACTGTCATATAATCAACATCTGCTTTTGGCATTGTGGTCATTAACAAGGTATATGTAAAATCTTATTAAAGTCTGGTAAAATGGTGTCTGACATGAAAGTAGATGCCAAGCCCTTTCATGTCAGACACCATTTTGCCAGATTTAACATTAAAAAAAAAAAAAAAAAAAACTACTGTTAGGAAGGTTCAACCTCTACTGCCATATAATCAACATCTGCTTCTGGCATTGCGGGTCATTAACAAACTAGAAAGCATTATTTTCAGAGCAACCTTCAAAATACATCCTGATGCACCCTGGTAAAAGTGTGTTAACAAAAAAAAAAAAAACATTATGGGTTACTGTCAGGAAGGTTCAACATCTACTGCCATACAACCATCATCTGTATTTGACATTGTGGACCAATAACAAAATCAAAGGTATTAACAAATTCCATCTTGCCAAACTTTAACACAGTAAAGAAATAAAAAATAATATAATGAAAAAAAAAAAAAAAAAACCCCCAAAAAACTATGGGCTATTGTCTCTAATGCTATACAATGACAATGGTACTCAGCCATTACTAGAACACCCACATAGTAGAGTGGACTGTAAACAATTTTATCTGAGTTTGAAGCATCTGGTGTTTTTATGACCAACAGTAAGATTTATGAAGTAAAATCTTCAAAGCAGCTACCCACTAACCAAAATGAAATAAATAAAAGAAAAACTTTAATTTATTTTTTTAATATCTGATGTTAGGCGTATTCGCTACACAGAAACAATTTTATTTGTAGACAACAATTTTGCATATCTGGAAATATTAAACATTTTAAAAGTGAAATTAAGAACTATTTTAATTATTCTTAATATTTAATTTAGTTACATGCATTCCCTAGATAAAAAAACAAATTTATTTGTAAAAAAAAAAAAAAAAAAAAAAAAAATTATATATATATATATATATATATATATTCATTCATTTTCCTTGTTTACAACAACTTTATTTCGTGATTGGCGTACTGGCTTACTAGAAAACCCTTACAAAAAATCCGACTTCATAAAATTTAACATTAAGAGAAAACTGGCAACTACTTTTTTATTTTTAGTTATTTTGTTGTTAACTTAAGTTTACCACAAAAAGTTTTTTCTTTTTTTTAAACTGAAACAAATAGATTTCAGACATCATGTCGTATTTTCCTTTTTTTCTGTATGAAAACATGATTTCCAAGTGTCATATCTGTCGTATTTCCTTTTGTTTTCTTCGTTTCTTTTGTAAACAAATAGATTTCACATTTATTTCCTAACTCTGGTCAATAGAATGTTTTTAACATATTTTTGTACAATCTTTTTCTCTTACAATCGTATAAATATTGATAAAATTTAATGTTATTAACATCTGAAAGACTTTTTCAATAGTGTTTCTTTGGATATGGTCACTCAGTAGTGATAGTACTTAAAAAAAAACAAAAACGAACGATTTCGGTTTTGTAAAAAATTTCGATGAGGTTTCACAATACGATGAAACCGAAAAAAGTCAATTTTTTGGCTAAACCACCCATCTCTAGTAAATAATAAATGTTTATAAAAAAGTAAATAATTTTTTATATTCTTGTAAATAAATCTTGGCAAAGGAGTGAATATAGTTAAAAATAATAGCAGTGATAATGGAAAAAAGAAAAATGTTCTTTTGAAACACCATTTTTGGCACACACGAAGGTTCCTTTTGGGAAGGGTAATTTTCTTCACCCCAAGTAAGGCAATAAATCCACTAAGATGCAAGTGGTTACTGAGTGTTAGAGAATTTGAAAAACACAAGAGAGAACGACAAAAGAACAGGAATTAAGAATACAGAAGATAACTGACATTGAATTTAAATACTTGAAGAGCAAAGTTGACTGAAAAGCTAGAGGCTGAAAGAGTTCCACAAGCAAGAGGTGCAATAGAAAAAACTGTTAGCATAGAAATTATGGTCACATCTAGCCAAATCCACTGTAAATTGATGAGGCCTTGCTGCAAATCTAGTGCTGCACTTAAATTCATAAAGTCAAGGTCCCATAGAGGAAAATTAATCAAAACAATTACCATGAAAGCATTTATAGGAAAGACACAGAGAAGCTATGTTATGGCAATGAGACAGTGACTGAAGATGAGATGCCAGGTGAGGACCAATAACATTGCAGAATCTTTGGATTTTATCAAGAATCTCTAAATATGTAGCAGGCACACCAGACCAGATGTGGCAGCTATATTCAAAGCATAAATGAATGGGAGACTTAGAAATATGTAAGATAGATTCTGGTGAGAGAGGAATAAAAAAAAAAAAAAAAAAAAAAAGAGCAAACCTAACAATTGATTCAATATAACATTTCCACTTTATCTCAGTAGAAAATGTTAGTCTTTGTAGGCACAATGATTAACTCTCCTGGAGGTTAGCATCAGCCATGCTGATGGAGGGTAAAAAGGATTCTCTCATGATTAAAAGAAAGCAGTTTC